CATACTACTCACCTACATGGTCTCATCATAATAATTTTTTAGGATATGGCACATAGGCACCTTAGACACGGAAATTTCTTCAACACTAACTTGAACCAAACTAACATGGACAGGAGCACACATTATACTTCTTATTTCTCAAACATAGATGACAATAGAAGTCCGAAACTAAATTGCATGTTGTGAAATGATTAAAATATCTTTAGAATACAAAAAAAAACTCACAACGACATAAGTCGCTTTGATTTTGGGTCACATTGTACTCCTTTCCACCCACATAGATCAGATTCTTCAGGTCTCCACCGGAGAAGAACATCATCTGAACTAATTATTGCCATTCTAAAGTTAACAAGTGCTTGACCTGCAACACATATGGTTTATGCTAAAAGTTGCCATGAAGTAACGGTATAGTGTTTATCATAAGCAGTATCTTAATCCAAAGAAGCTGAAAAGAGACAGCTGATAGTTTCCCTTACAGGTGACCAGTATATCCACATGATCCCTATTCCATACATATTATTAGTATGGAAAATAACAACAAACCGAGAAGTAAGAGATATTTAATGGGGAAATCCATGTACGAACTCCTAAGACTTTGTACATGACTACATTTATAAATCACTCAAGACTTGTTTTTCTATAATAATCTCTTCGTCAAAAATAAACCTCTCACTTTCATATTCCAGTTATCCTAAGTTGTCTTCAACTGGGTGGCCACAGATCAACTGGGTTTCCCTCCGCCGGCGGCATGGCTGCCGCACAGGCGTCGGGTGAACGAAAGAGATGGGCACATGCATAGAGAGAGGTCAGAGCGTCTCGCTCTAAAGTGTTTCAAGTAGAACATCAATGTAAGCACTATGTGCGAATCTTGCCCAATGTATAAATAGTGAGAAGTGATATTTTAGGTAAATATGGTGAAATAGGTTAAGTAATTGATTTGTAATCAATAACTAATTAAATAGGATTTAATAAAATTTCATGATTGTACGTGTATCTTATTAGGCTGGTTGAATGGATTTTTAGTTGAAGCCAAACGGAATATTAGAAAAAACCTGTTTCTTTTTTACTAAACATTTGATAGAAAATTTTGTTGCCAAAAATTAAGATAGGAAATTGATGAACAAGGTGAGCCTATCTTATTTATTTATACTACACTTCATAGAGCAGTAATTTCATCAGGAATTGAGTTGATAATTTAGGTGTTTTTCTCTAGCCTGTTTTGTTGAGATGTGGTTGGAATATCTTTGGAATGATTCCAGCCAGTACTTCAAATTCAAAGCTCTCATCAACTACAAGTTTCCTCTTCCCTGTTATGGAGCTTTTGTTTGCTTCGGCTATAGCTAGGTCTTTAGTAGCTTTCACCACATAAGAAGACAAATAAAGAAGGGGAAAGACAACTTTGTATCTTGCTGGGATTTAGGCCGCACACATTTAACAACAGTGAAGCTTCGCCCTTGACTTTTTTATTTACTTCTCCAATGTCAACAAATTCAGGAGCAACACTCATTTCAAGCAAACGTAGCAACTTCAAGGAGCTGGTTACTATGACAATGATTTTGAACACTCAGAACCGGAAATTCTTTTGTATATTCCCGGCAATATCACAGTTTGTTATGAGCCGATCATCATGTTATGTTTTGCAAAAGAACACTTATTGAATTACCGCTTGCAAAAGAATTGCCTGTGTGTGACTCATAACAACACTCAATCACACCTACAACATATACAAAAGAATTGCCAGTTGTTAAATGATATTTGCTTGTTTTTAAAGCTCTTCACAAACTGTGAATTTTTAAATCTTTGAATTCAGACTTAAGTAGCAGCATTATTCATGCGACAATGAGTAAAATCTTTAACATACCTGATAACTGCTGTTACTAAACTATCTAGGATTACAAAGAAAACCTTTAGAAAAAGGCTAAATGAATGTCACATCCATTCATTTTGTTCTCTTCCACTAACAAATGCTATAATTCACACAAGTTAAACTTTTAGTTAATAAATAATTCCTGCCACAATACATTTGGTCTTTTCAAAGCAATATTCCTATCACATGAACTTTACAAATCTTAATATCCATTTTTTCCATAACCATAACAACACCGTGTGTAACTATATTTGTAAACCTCATTTATTTCATTGCATATTTTAACAAGTTGTACAAACTTTATCATAAGGTCACATCATTTCGGTCAGTGTTCCTCTCCTATCATTTTCGCCATCCTTGTACACTACTTTAACCTGAAAATATTATACGTAGTATAACTTAGTTATAAAAATCACTACCGTAGCCATTGTTTGAGACATTTATTTTTAATATACTTCTAACACAAATAGAGAGCAACTCACTTATATTTAATATTTTAGTTTTCTACACAACAAAGCGTTTGAACTGAACAGATTTGATAAGTCACACAAACGACCAATAACTATCAAACGAATAGTATATCATACTTGATATTTTTTCAGACTACAAGGTAAACTTCAAAATTAATCTTAAAAATTAAGGTGATCTCTCTCATCATCTAAATATATTGTCCTAACTTACTTTAATAAGAATATAAAGAGAGTACCCACTTCACTAAAAAGTAGAAAATAAGTTCTTACTGTATGTCACAAGGAATCTTAATGTATTACTTGTTCACTACATCTGCCAAAGCGAAGACCAAGAGTTCAGTGTTCAAAAGATTGCAAAGTTGTAGTGAATAGAGATCAAAGTGCAGTTGTTTACAAGTGGAATAAGAAATTGAAAAGGAAAAAATAAGTTGTTAGAATAGGAAAGCATATGAAGCTGTCAACATGAATAAAAAGTGTAATCCTCATTTTCAAGGTAAAGTGCAACTAATAAGGAACTGAAATAAAGAAGATAACATGGAGGTGGAGGTGAATCAGAATGAGAGATGATTGATTACATGGTTCAATTGAAAAATCAAATTAAATTACCGTCTTCCATCATATCCTTGAAGATATGCTCTGTTGGTCAGTCGTTTCTCCAAACAAAACTCTCCCATATCAATTGAGAAATGAGATGTGAAACCTGAAACATAGTAACACAAGAAACGAGAAAAGACAAATTTTTACTCATGAACTTCAATGTAAACAGAGATGGCTTCGAGTTCTGACCAGGGAGATAGGATAGGACTTCCTGAGCTCGCAAGCCCGGAGGTGTGGAGTTACTCTCCGGTGGAAATCGCAGCAAATTGCAAAGCAATGTCGGTGACTCTACGACTGAGCGGCCATAGACAGAAAATTACCGAGCACGAGAGTGGAGAACGGATTTGGCTTACCTGAACGTTTTCCTAGCCACGACTGACGTGAATAAAGCTTGTATGCTTGAGATTGAGATGTTTGAGATTTCTATAGTGAGAATAGCATGGAGAATCGGCGGACGTCTTGAACCCTAGCCTTGAATACGTCAAGCAAGAATGAGAGGGGAGAAGTAAATAAATCGGGGTGTTTTCTAAAGCTTCTCGCCCTAAGAAGAAGCAAATGAATCGGGAAAGAATTGTCGACTCACTTCATTGGGGGAGGGGGCAAACGGCGTTAATTAATAGGAGGACTGTTCACACGGTAAAACGACCATACTAACTTCCTCTGGCACTTATAATTTTTAGTAGATATATATATATATATATATATATATATATATATATATATATATATAAAGGAACAGATCTTAGGAGAGAAATGATAATGAATCATGACCGTTGGATTGAATTATGTGGAACTGAATTGTGCATTTGGTGAAACCGAAATGTGCATTAGATGATATTGAAATGTGCAGAATAAAACTTTAAACTCACATGTGCATTAGGTGAAACCGAAATGTGAAGAATAAAAGGTAAAAAAAAAAAAATAACATCACATCATACCTTTTATTATGCACATTTTTTGTTTCATCTAGTGCACATTTCAAATTCACTTAATGTACAATTTAGCTTCACAAAATGTCACTACATTGTACCCTTTGTGCTGCACATTTCAATTTCACCTAATACACATTACAGATTCATCTAATGCACATTGAGTTTCACATAAAGTAAATCTAACGGTCTAGATTCATTCATATTTTTCTCTTAAGATCATGTTCTTATTTAAACCAAAACTTATATATATACATATATATACACCCATTTGTGTTCCCGTGGTTGGATTACCGGTTGCCGTCGTTGTTTGAGTCTGTTCACAAACTATGAAGGAACGAAAGGATGTGTGTCGACCAGACAATTGAACTGGCGAAAATCATTTGGACGAACAAACATACATAGAAGGGATGATGAGTTGGAGAGCACCGACTTACCCGATGACTCTTCTGCAACAAATGGATATTAGAGAGCGGCACATGTAAATTTGATTTATATACTATTATAGTAGGGTTGGATTTTGTTGGGTATTAAATGGGTAGTGCTTAACGGGGTACTTGGGTTGGGCTGGACTTTGGAGTTTTTTTATCTTCAATCAAAAGACTGATAAAAAAGTAATTGCATTGTGTAAGTATTCTTGGATACTCTTAAATTCTTGAATATATGAGCAAATTTTTTTTATTGTGTTTTTATCATAATCATAATCATCATTATCATTTATAATGCAAGATCTAGACATTTCAACACAATGTTTCAAAAATATTAAAATTTATTTTTGTATTGAACAAAACAAAATGTGTATCATATATAGTTTTGTGAAAAGTCATGATATTTTTATATTTTATATATTTTACATGTTTATATATTTATATTCTGATAATGTTACATGCATATATTCTATACACTTTGCAAATTTTGTATAATTGCATATTTTATACTACATATATTTTAACTTTAAATAGTTATGATTTTGATTATTTATTAATTGTGTGTGTTTGTATTGTACAATATAATTTTATCTATCTTTCTTATTATTGTAAATTGTAGATGTAAAAATTACTAAGTTATTTTAATAATTTTTGTTTCGTGCTTCGTACAGGGGAAAATCTAGTACTAATAATAACAGTGACAACAATGAAAGAAAAAAGAGAGAAATGCATCATTATTATCATCTTATGAAATTCAAAATTTGTTTAACAAGCCACGTTCTCATAAAGGAAGAAATTTTGAAATTGAATCTACACTACGCATTTCACTCAATCCCTTGGGCGCTCCAAAGCATGAAAGCGGTCGCAAGAGGGGTGATTTAATGCCACCGGCTTAAGGATTCCTTTTGTCTTCTTTGGAGGGAGCATCACCAAGCTCTTCATTGGTAGGTAACTTGTCAAATGCGACATCCTCCATGGAAGGTTTAGCTACAAGTTTCTCAGGGTTAGGCACTTCAGGAGGAAGCCCCCAATCGATAATACATGAGGTACCAGCCTTATCCTTCAAGATATGGTATATTTTTTGTTGAGCAGCATATTTCCCGATCTTGTAGGAGAGGTAACCCTCCCTGACGAGTTTCTCGCGGCCCTCTAGAGTAGACAACCAACGTTGGCTAATCTCACTCAAATGAGTGTCAACGTAAGCTTCCCGATCAGCCACAAACTCTGGAGATTTCATGTATGCATCCAAGATATGTTCACGGGCATTGGCCAACTCCACGGTGTGTGTGGCTTTAAGCACAACGACCTCAACAGCATGTGCATCTTTGAGCGAGGCCATCTCCTTCGCAGATTGAGAGAGTTGTAACAACAACTCTTGCTCGCGATCATCCTTCCTTCGATTCACCTCAGATATAGACAACAGGAGCTACAAAAGACAAGGTTATTATCATGAATCACATAAATATAAGTAACAAGAAGTGGGAAAATTACCTCAGCCATGGCATGGTGGCTCTTCTTCTCTAAAGCAATGTGATCAAGTCTTGCAATTTTCTCCTTCTCGCCCATCGGGATCATCTGGGACAGAAGCGGAGGTAACTCAATGTTACCCCGCAACCAAGTAGTCATCTCAGTGGTAGGAATATCACTCATGCTCTGAGTGATGTGGGCTGCAGTACCAGAGGCTTTGCGTTTCATCGGGGATGAAGACATAATTGCGTCGCCATTGTTTGTTATGATAGAAGAAGCCTTTGGCTTCGTGTCATGGCGCCCCTCGTCAACGTCATGGGATCCACCCTCGTCAAAGTTTCGAATCATCTCCAACCGTGACATCATATCTGCAATCCACACACATATTAGTTACTTGTATGTGTGTGTATGAAGAAAAGTTCACGTGAGAAGTGTGTCTTTGGCCGAAAACTGCGAACTTTTAACTTATATAACCAATAAGGTAACTTATAAAAAACACATTATAACGTATAGCTCAACAATCCTAAATGAAAAATACAATTTCATAGTAATAAATTGTGGTAGTATGATACAAGTATGAAACTTCGATAAAAACAACCGGTAGCACTTGATAGAGTTGATACTGTATGATTTTTATATTTATTGACCTATAAATGCATTTAAGACACTTTTTTTTCTAATTAACTATGAGTTCATTTAAAGTAACTTATAAAGCCAAATATATAATTTTTACAACATTAAATATACTTCGCAATTTTCAGTCGAATATACACTTTTCACCTTATTCACTCCCTAGGTATGTCTATGTGTGTTATCTTGAGAAGGAAGGGAGACTATGGAGTCTGATCATGTTTGGGCGGTCCTCAGAAGTAAAGGCCGAGAGGCTATATGATCCTTCCGAAAGGATCATATCCGACCATGCATCGATCGGGAGTTTCGAATAGAATACTTCTTAAATTAACAATTCAAAGACAGGGGAAAAGGCAATGGGATCTGAACGACACATACAAATTCTTTTTTTCCAATTACCTTTGTATTTATGAGTGGCTTTCGACATGTCAAAGTGATTACGGAATAAACACTCGGGACAGACTATCCGATGCCGAACGTTGTCCAACTCGGAACATATGCTTAAACAGATCTAGAGGCGGGTTCAATCTTAAGTGTGTTACACCGGATAAAAAAAGCTACCAAATATTGATGATCAAGCAGAGGTGACAAAGTGAAATTGAAAGGTCATTTAGGAACACAATGATCAAATGGCATGGTGTGTGGGAAAACAAAATCCTAATTTTATAGAAAGGATATGCACCCCGAAAAAGTGGCCCTTAGAAGGTTCAGTTACTACATCCTTCGAGTCTGGACGTCGAGCGATCTATGTGGGTGAGAAATTTTCTTATACTTCTGAAATTTTGAAATTGAAAGGCGCGACTTGTAAGACAAAATAGGGCTCGGATCTAAGAATGGATATGCGCCACTGTTGCGACATTTTGGTGATTTGACGGGGACGGCTCGTGACGTTACAGGAGAATTATCCAACACTAGTTCACCGTCATTGTTCAGTAACTCGTCAGAGTTTGTGGAATTTAGTATGTCCATAAATAGTGACAGCTATTCAAAACAACATTAGAGAAATGATATCATCAAAAGTAATACTTCATCCTTCCCAAATTGAATTGCAAATTTGACTTTTTTGGGTTCAAAAAGATTTATTTTATCCACTTAATTAGGATATCAAAGGTACTTGTGGTTGGGCCCGTTTTCAGATAGAGGCATGTGTTTCATTCTTTATCAAAGTAGTTCATGTGTTTGAATTCCGTTATCACAAGAGGGTCACACCGTTAAAAACGTCTGAAAAAGACCGTTAAAAGTAACTCCGATTTTCAAAAGTGCCGGAAAAGTTAAAAGAAAAATACCCAAAGGTGTGCCTCAATAAGACGATCACTAGGCCATCTTTCTTTTTTGTTTTCACCCACCCTTGTCACCGGAAAATCCACCGAAAAAGTGATATTAGCGAAATTTTTTCTTAAAAATAATTCAAACAGATGTGAAAAATCCAAAGGCGAAGGTGATTTTACAACTTTATAGAGATTTTAATGTCGTTTCTGATTATGTAAGTTTTAATTATTAAAATTGAATTAATTATCTACAGGAAGGATTTAACTGTAACATTAATTGACTAAACAATGTTGATTTGCAAAATATTTTGGGGCGCAATAATAAACAAGATTACATAAACAGAAGAAGGGACAAGCTGCAAAGAAAAGCAAAAAAAAAGGATAATGACCTAAATAGGACTAAAATAATCTCTAAATGCACAAATATGATACGTTATTTATCTTCCCAAAATAACACTAAAGCATACTCTATCTTCCTATTTTACCATTACCATAAGTCCATAACTTAATAGGATAATAATATTTTAATTTGTAATAAAAACAAGAAATAATAAAAAAATATTTTAAATTATACAAAAAAGGTCGTAAAAAATATAAAAACATTGTAAGTATTTTAAAATAATATAAAAATAATCAACATCTAAAAAAGTTTAAAAATTTAAAAAAAAAATAGAACTTTAAAAATAAATAAAAATAGATAAAACACACTTAAAAAATGACATGTATATTATTAATAGAGTTTCCTGGCACAAAAATATGATTAGTTATGTTTTTACACAAATATATGACTAGTCACTGTGTACGAATCACTGAGAACTAGTCACTATAGTTATTTTAGAATGACAAGTCATTAGGCCAAATTAGCAAATTGGTAAAGAAAAGGGGGCTATTTGACATATTGGTAAAAAACAATTTGAGACATATTGGTAAAAAAAGAAGCCCTAGTGACAAATTGGTCAATTTTCTATGAGTGATAAACTTTTGATCTTCGACTTTAGAATTTCCGGCATTTTAATATTCTAAATATTGTGAAGTTGACATATGCAGTCCTTTTACTCGTAGTTGTTTGTTATCACATAACCGTTTGAATCGACAGATTGATATTAGCGGATTCCGTTAGTTTTTATAACTAACCGCTTTCATTAGCGGTTAAATAAAATGTTAGTAACTTAAAATTTGCAATTAGCTTTTCCGACGTAAAATGACCGTTGAAAAAAGAATTTAAAAGTGTATATATTTAAATCAATTTTATTTCTTTTTATTTTTAATAAGTCTGGAAAATGTTTTACAAATTATGTTTACGTTTATTTTAAATAATTACTAACACTATCATTTTAAGATATGTACATTAATGCGAGTGCAAACATATAAATGCATATATTTTTAGGATTAATATTTTAAATATGCTTGTTTATTAGTTTTTTAAATTTACTCCATTTAAAAAATCTACTCGAGAATTATACTCCATAAGACTATTTATTAGTTTTTTTAAAATCTACTCCATGGTTATTTAAAATAAATGTAAATATAATTTTTAAAACCTTTTCAAAGACTTATTAAAAATAAAAGAAATAAATTTAAGATAAATATATATAGTTTTAAATTTATATCTTTAATGGTTATTTTACGTCTCAATATTTAATCGCAAACATATAAGTTATTAACATTTTATTTCAAACGCTAAAGAAAGTGGTTAGTTATAAAAACTAATGGAATCCGTTAGTATCAATATGTTGATTCAACCGGCTATTAGCAAGCAGACAACTGTTATTACCAAACACACTCGTTGACATTTTTAGACCTCCACTTTTGATGACAAAATCAAAATAAAAAGACCGAAAATATCAATTTCACAATACTTAGAATATGAAATGTCGGAAATTCTAAATTTGATGATCAAAAGTTTCTCACTCACAAAAAATTGATCAATTTGTCATCAAGACTTTTTTTTACCAATATGGCTCAAGTTTTTTTTACTAACTAGTCACTAAATACGTCACTTTTTTAGAAAGTTTTAAAATAAGTCATATTTTTGTCTTTTGAATTTAATTTAGTAATATTCATGTGGAAAAGACAATTGAAAAGTATCAAAAAATATGAAGGCCTTTCCCACAGCCTCAGCTATCACCCAGCAATGCCACCTTCGATCGGCGAAAAAAATGTCATCTTGTGTAGAAATTGTCATTTTCCTTCAATGATGGCATTTTTATTCTTTGAAAATATCGAAATTTTCTCAAAATTTGCCATCAAGATGACATTTCTACTTTCTAGCACAGGTTGACATTTTTTGCCGACGGATGGAGGTGATGGTACTGGGAGGTGGTTGAGGCAGCAAAAGAGGCTTGCATATTTTTAACATTTTTTTTGGTTGTTTGTCATATAATTTTTTATTTAATGTGTATTTTCGTGTTTTTTTTATTATAAATAAATTAATGTTATTAAATTTGTGTTTTAATTATTAATGAATTGTACGAGTATTAAAACAAAGCAAAAGTAGAATTGAAAAGTTAATCCTATTTAGGTAATTTTAAAGTTCTAGTCCAATTTTGATGATTAAAGTTTCATTTAGTTTTAGGATGTTTTCCTTTAAATTTATTTCAATCCCAAATCAGACTAGATCAAACCAAAGTTGAAAGTTCACAAGAAAAAATAGTGTAGTAAGGGTCTGTTTGCAATAGTTTCTGCTTTTAAAAAAAAATGCTTTTTTTAATGAAATGGGAGAAGTGATTAAATAAAAGTTAATAGTGTTTAAGAAAAAAATGATTTTGAAAAGTAAAAGTGAGCAGTGTTTGGTAAAATAAGTGTTTTTTGTGTAAGAGAAAAAGTAAAAGCATTTTTGACGCGGAAGTCGAGAAAAATAAAAGTTGTAGTGTTTGAAAAAATAAATACTTTTTAAAAGCAAAACCAACCTGAGAAGAAAGGAAAAGGAGAGAAATATAAGGAAAAGGAGAGAAATATAAGGGAGCATACTTGGCTACTTGCGTACCCTAGCAGCAGCGGCTGCGGGATCGGATCCACACCCAGAGCAGGGCAGTGACGTTGCAGGAGGTAGACGGAGACGGCGAACGGTATGTGATGTCACCGGAGTGCGCTGGTGCCCGGAGACAGAGGAGCAACCGAGCAATGGCGGTGGTTCACCTTCGCCTTAAAGCGGCCGCAGCCCAGGCTATAAAACGGCGGCGGCAGTGAGAGGTTCGGCTGCAGGAGCTCAGTGGTCGGAGTCGGAGTCGATGCCGGTGAAATCGAGTTATCTCATTTGCTCACGGCGGTCGGCGGAAGCTGACGAAGGGAGACGGCAGAGAACTCCGAGTGGAATGGATGGTCACGTGGACGGGTACCGGCGGGCGGAGGAAGACGGTGACCTGGTTGACGTTGAGGTGCGGCCTGGATGTGAAGCTGTGGTGGTGACTGTTCGTCTGTTCCTCACTCCTCACCTACGAAGCTATCAGGAAGAAAGTACAGTTGAAGTCATAAATTATACGAGTACATTTTGGTAAAAGAAAATGTTCAATAATAAAAGGGGTTAGGTCATGAATAAGACTAATTAAATGAGATTGGACAAATATAAGACCTGTTTTAGTATCATCCAAAAAAGAGACCACGCGTGTACTTCATTTAAAAGTTTTAGAATGAAAATATCAAAACTATCCCTGCTTTCTAATCAACATAACGCAGCCACTTTCAATTCCAATCACATGAAAATGCTATACAGGTAGGGGAGAGCACGGGTCGGGTTCGGGCGGGTCGGGTTCTAAAATCGTAAACCCGTTCGGGTATCGGGGTTAAATTCTGTAACCCTACCCATAAATATTTAAGTGTAAAAATTTCGGATATTTTGAAGTTCGGTTGCTTTGGGGTATGGGTCGGATATCGGATATTTCGGATATCCAAAAAATATTACTTAACTACTAAAATTTAATTTCTTTTCACAACTGGTTGAGATTTATACAGGATAAACAGAAATTACACAATATAAGGGGATTTCCCAGACCCAGTTCATAAATTAACAGTTTTTATGAACATACAAGTTCATAACCTGATAAGTTGGCTAATGGCTAACCAAGTTTTAATGTTTAACAAGTAACACATAACAAAATATACAATCTGTACCACAGTACCAGATTACCAATTGTGCAATTATACAAGTTTTTGACATGCAAAGTAATAAAAGCAAAAATACAAAAACACTTCGCAAGCAGCCAATCCCATTCAATTCCTTCTTGAGGTCTGCACTTCTTCATACTGCCTTCAAACTTGAACCTATAAAAATACAAGTATGTCAAACATCTAAACAAATAGTATTGTTTAAAACAAGATTATCACACTGATGCATAAATATTGGCTCAGATTGCTTATTTTCAGTTCATATTTTGTATGGGGGCATATTATATCAAGTAAATGACGGCAACTATAGTTACCTAGCCATAACTTAACAGAACACCAACCCACGACAAATCAGTTTGTTGTGGAAGCTTCATCATAGCCAAGAAAATGATTGAAATGATAAAGGGAGAATAAACAGGTATATATGTATTACCATTACACAGTTCACAAGGGGCATAGGCTCAGGTAGCTTATTTTCACATTCAAAATTTATATGGGGGCATACAGATTTGAAGTAAATGGCGGCAACTATAGTTACCTAGCCATCACTTAAAACAACACCAACCCATACAAAATCAGTTTATTGTGGAAGCTTCATCATAGCCATTAGCCCATCAATCAAGAAATGATTTAAATGATTAAAGGAGAATAAGCTTGTGTTACCATTCATTATAACTTCACAAGGGGCAAATGGGCAATAAGCTTTTGTTACCAGTCTTAACTATGTTTACTGCTTCCATCATTCATGTACAATTCAGTGATTCACAATCAAATCTGCCAACAAAATCAGTCATATATAATGCTCAACAATAAATAAGTAAAAAAAGCAGTATTTTTACTGCAATAGGATCCTGCAAAGATCCACCAACATAGCCATCAGGACCACCAGTAACACTACCATCAATTAATTCTGCAAAAAAATTTAACAAATCAGCCTGTTTAATATCAAAGAAAACATATGAAGTACATAAAATGTAAAACAAAAATGAAGAAGTTTAAATTGACCTGTTTCCAGCCTTTGCACTTCATCTATATTTTCTTCAACTGAGATAGGGTGGCTTTGATTTCTTAGCCAATCTTGAGTACAGATTAAAGCTTCCACAATTTTTGGACTTAATGAACTTCTGAAACAGTCCAACACTCTACCACTAGTACTAAAAGTGGACTCAGAAGCAACAGTAGAGATTGGAACAGCAAGAATATCTCTAGCCATTTTTGAGAGGATAGGAAACCTCTCACTATTTAACTTCCACCACCTTAAGATGTCAAAATCTGTATCCTCTTCAATTATGGCCTCACTCAAGTACAGTTCCAACTCACTTTGTTTCAAACCCAACTGCCCATTTTCAAACTTCTGTTTTTTAGCTGGGCTTTCAATTTGGAGATAGGTCTTGCAGACACAGTCTCTAATTGTGTTTGAGAGGGAGTTGAGCTTGAAATCATGCTTCCAGTACCAGAATCAGAGTAGTTGGACACATAATCATTATATAACTCATGCAAAGCAAGCTTGATACTTTCAAAGAACTTCACACCCTTTGGTTCTGTATAAAGGGCATTCAGTTGAAAAGGCATGTATTCAAACTTGTCCCTTGGGTCAAGCACATTTGCAAAAAAGATCAGAAAATTCATTTTCTCTGGGTCTCCCCAATATTTGTCCAGTTTGGATTTCATAGTAGAGCCCATTTTACTTGTGGAAGCCTTGGGAGACTTCATCATGTCTTGAAGCACAAGAAACAAATCAGAAATTTCAGAGAAGAAAGTATTGGAAGTAACATACAAAGAGCCAGAAATCCTTAGGGTCATTTCATAAAAACTTTCAAGAACTGACACTACGGATTCACAATTCACCCAATCACCAATATCAGGCACTTCTGTACCTAAATCAGACCCATAACACCTCTCATTCTCCTCATATGCTTCAAAAACTCTTTCATTGGATAATGCTGACTTTAACATCAGATAGGTGGAGTTCCACCTAGTAGGAACATCTAGGTGCAGGCCACATTTGGACTCTGCTCCTATCAAATCAGATATATCCTTGAATTTTTGGAGCCTAGAAGGAGAGTTCCTAACATACTTCACTGCTTCCCTAACCCTCACTACAGATGTATCAGCATCCTTCAACCCATCTTGGACTGCCAGATTCAAGATGTGGGCAATACATCTCATGTGTAGGTATTTCACTCTGACAGGAGAAGCACCCCATGACAGAAATTTTTTCTTTAAAAATCCTATTGCAGTATCATTACTGCTAGCATTATCATCAGTCACAGAGAATATATTCTTCAATCCCCACTCTAATAAGCAATTTTCTAGGGCCTTGGCAATGTACTCCCCTTTGTGGGAAGACACTTGCACAAATGAAATCACCTTCTTCTGTAGCTTCCACTGACTATCTATGAAATGGGCAGTAATACACATGTAGTTGATCCTCTGAATAGAGGTCCATGTGTCAGTGGTTATACTGACCCTTTGGGTGGTCTCTTTGAACAACCTTTTCAGGCTCAGCTTTTCATCTAGATATATTTGGTAAATGTCCCTAGCAATAGTCCACCTAGAAGGGACAACAAACCTTGGACATGCTACAGAGACAAACTTTCTAAACCCCTGCCTCTCAACAAACCTAAAAGAAAGCTCATCAATTATTAACATTTCTGCAAGAGCTCTCCTGATTAGGGTTTGGTCAAAGACCCAGGTCCCTATAACCCCAATAGTTTCTGGAGAGGTGGTTTGAGTATTAACAACTGGTTGGAAGGTTAATAAGGCTTGTCTAGTCTCTTTAGAGTGGGTGTTTTTCAGACAACTAATAAGCATGTGGTTTCTCAGAGAAGAAGTTCCATGCCTTTTAGACTCACAACAGTACACCTTAGCACAATATATGCATCTGCCCTTCACAAGGACTCCCTTGCTATCATACATTTTGTGAAAGTGTTCCCATATCTTGGATCTAGTTTCAACCTGTTTCCTCTTTTGTCCAACACTAGCAGTTGAAGCAATATTCTGAGTTTGAGCTTCCACATTCTCAGCTTCCACTGCAGGTTGTTGGGGTGGAGGAGGTTGAGCACCAGATACAGATATGTCTTGGGATTCCATCTATAAACCATTACATGAAACTTAGGGACCTTTTCTTAGCTTCCACAATCAGAATTCAGAAAGAAAAAAGAATCATTCTTTCATCATCATTCATTCATTATTCTTTGGGGCCACAATCACTCCTTTATGTACATAGTTATAATCATTTCAAATCATTCTCAGTCAAGGCAGCAATAGATATCAAGTCTGGAACAATCACCAAGGTGATTTACAGAATAGTATAAGCAGTAGGCTTAACTATTCTCTACAGACTTAGAAGAACCAGTCAACTCTAACTACTCAGCTTGAGTGTTTGAGTCAATCAGGTAACTTCTACATCAACAATAACCAACATTTAATAGGCAACATTCATACACACAACCTTACACAGCTTCCACTATGACAATTCAGAAAGAAGCAATTATTCTTTCATCATTAATCATTCATTCATCATTTCAAATCATTCTCAGTCAAGGCAGCCATAGATATCAAGTCTGGAACAATCACCAAGGTGATTTACAGAATAGTATAAGCAGTAGGCTTAACTATTCTCTACAGACTTAGAAGAACCAGTCAACTCTAACTACTCAGCTTGAGTGTTTGAGTCAATCAGGTAACTTCTACATCAACAATAACCAACATTTAATAGGCAACATTCATACACACAACCTTGCACAGCTTCCACTATGACAATTCAGAAAGAAGCAATTATTCTTTCATCATTAATCATTCATTCATCATTTCAAATCATTCTCAGTCAAGGGAACCATAGAAATCAAGCCATACAAATGAAGTCTGGAAATCATTCATACACACAACCTTACACAACTTCTACAACAACAATAAGTCAATAACCAACATGTAATAGGCAACATTCATACACACAACCTCAAGCAAAGACATAACCATAATTTATACATAATTACAGTTTCGGACAGACATGCCAACAATACAGTTTCAACATCATATTTTACTTCCACACTTCAACATTCAAGGCTGCTCGAGTCACACAATAAACAACAACTCACAAGTCAGTAAGAAGCTGTTCCGTTCGTCTTAATCTTATTACTTATTCCTTAATCTTATTTTATTCAGATCAGATCAGATCAGATCAGAAAGATTCAGATCAGATCAGATCAGATCAGAAAGATTCAGATCAGATCAGATCAGATCAGAAACATTCAGATCAGATCAGAAAGCTTCAGATCAGATCAGCAACATTCAGATCAGATCAGAAAGATTCAGACCAGATCAGAAACATTCAGATCAGATCAGAAACATTCAGATCAGATCAGATCAAAAAATTCAAACATGATTTATCACTTTTATTATTATATTAATTATGATTATTATATTATAGTTATTGTTAATAATATTAATATATTAATATAATAATATTATTAATAATAATATAATAATAATGTTTATAATATAAAATTATTATTATATTATAATAATATAATATAATATAATATAATATAATATAATATAATATAATATAATATAATATAATATAATATAATATAATATAATATAATATAATATAATATAATATAATATAATATAATATAATATAATATAATATAATATAATATAATATAATATAATATAATATAATATAATTATAATTATAATTATAATTATGATTTAAAATGTAATTATAATTATAATCATCATTATTATTAATATGATTGTTGTTCTTGTTGTTATTTTTGTAATTATTATTACTTCGGAGTAATTATATATTTAAATTAGTAATTATAGATATAATTATGATTATAGAGATAAATATTATAATTATAATTACAAAAAAAAATTATAAAATTAATCATAATTAAAAATATAATTACATTTGTAATTGTATCTGTATTTATAATTAGTGTAATTGGTATAATTATTATAATTTTAAATTTAATTTTAATTATTATTTTTTTATAATTATGATTATAATTGTAATTTTATTTAAGTTATATTTTTAATTACAATTATAAATCTAATAATTATAATTATAATTACAATTATAGAAATATTCAAATCAGATCAGAAAGATTCAGATCAGAAGAATTCAGATCAGATCAGAAACATTCAGATCAGATCAGAAACATTCAGATCAGATCAGATCAGATCAGATCAGATCAGCAACATTCAGATCAGTTCAGCAACGTTCAGATCAAATCAGAAAGATTCAGATCAGATCAGAAAGATTCAGATCAGATCAGATCAGATCAGAAAGATTCAGATCAGATCAGATCAGATCAGATCAGAAAAATTCAGATCAGATCAGATCAGAACTTAAAAAATTCAGATCAGAAACATTCAGATCAGGTGAACGGAACAGCTTCTAAGTCACAACCACAATTTACACACTCTTCATCAAGCAGAGAATAGAAGTTATACCTCACGCGTGAGTGTGACTGATATGAGAGATTGGGAGACTGAGACAGAGGCACAGAGCTTAGGTTTACCAGAAGGTCCAACCGGAAAAGGGGCAATGCTTCCACAGTTCAACGTCCGATCCGATGACTTTAGGGTTTCCACTTCAAACCAAGAACTCAAGAAGCGTGTGAGAGTAAATGACGAACACACTCAGACCCTCATAGAGTCACCATCTCACAGCCGGAGTCCGGAGAGATGAAGTGGTCAAGAGAGGCGGAGAGATTTGGAACAGAGGGTGAGAGTAACTGAGTAAGGTCAGCGAAGAGAGTAGTCGGAGAATCAGAGTAGAGAGATAGAGAAGGAGGCGGAAATGGGTTAGGGTTTATTAGGGGAGTATATATATAAATATATATGGGCTGGGTACTGGGCTGGGGGTTCGGGTTTTCGGACGGGTCGGTTGGGCGAAACCCAAATCCTACCCGGCCCAATAATATCCAGGCCTTAGCCTGGCGGGTTTTCGGGTTTCCATTTCGGGTCGGTTGACCCTACCCGGTCGGGTAATATCCGAAATATCCGATCGGGTATTCGGGTTGGGTCGGTTTATGCTCAGCCCTATATACAGGCAAAGCAAAATTACAAAAGTACTTCGTATGACTTTATTAGTTTATACTCGGTTACCTCTTCCCAGTTACACTTACCCGACCCGTCCAATTACAGTTACTCGATCCGTCAAGTTACAATTACCAACTCATCCAGTTACAGTTACCCGACTCATCCAGTTACAGTTACCCGACTCGTTCACTTACAATTAATCATTTACCGGACCCGAATTCCAGTTACAATTACCTGACTCGTCCAGTTACAGTTACCCAACCCGTCCAGTTACAGTTACTCGACCCGTCCAGTTACAGTTACCCGACCCGTCCAGTTACAGTTACCTGATTTGTCCAGTTACGGTTAAACGACACACTCAGTTACAGTTACATGACTCGTTTACTTATAATTACCCAATTACCAACCCAGTTTGATAGTCATCAACGCTAGCCGCTGCCACCGGTAACCACTGATGACCACCACAAGCAACCGCCAACCACCAACAACCGCCACCACTGCCGGCCACCAACTCAGACCACCACCGGCAACCGCCGCCGCCGCCAGCAACCGCCACCACTGCCGGCCACTGCCTCGGACCACCGCCCCACTCCCCATCCCCCTCCCGCAGCCCCAATCCCTGCACAGTCTTATTCCACCACCACACCACACCCTCCACCGCCGTCTGCGACATTTGACTCTACCGGCAACCCAAGCGCTCCAACCAGCCCGCCAGCCCATCACAGGCCACCACCGTGACCTGCCCCATCACTACCCCAGAAATCCGGCGACTCCACCGGCCCTGGAACAGTTCCAGTGTCCAATAGCCCCGCCATCTCTGGTCACCAGAGCACAACCACGTCCCGACCCCAGCTGTCACAGCCCCACCACCGCGCCATGCGTCCTCCACTACCCCGCCCCTTACCCTAAACACCATCGTCGATCCAAATCTGCAGATTCGAAATCCAGATCTAAATTCGACGGTCGGAAATGTTCCTTTGGTGATCGACACGAAGAAGACAGTAGCCGCCCATACGAAGATGAAGACAATTGTGCTCCACATCTCCGGCAAAGCTATTGCGGCCCTACCGCCTCCAAAAATCGCAGCAAAAGAAAGAAGGAAGAAGAAGAAGTCAGCGGCGCAGCTAATCTTCTGGAGCAACCTGGTGCTGCGACGACCTGCAGGTGAGGAACCACCGTGCGACTTTGAAGAAAGATGATAAGGAGCTGCAAGATTGGGAGTAAGTACTGACGACGGGAATTTTGAGAAGAGGAAGGAAGAATAAATGGGGCTAATTCGGCCACTTTAGAAACATTTGGTCTCATTTTTGTCCTAAACAAAACTTGGTTCCACTTTTGTCTACTGAAGAGTCCTGAGTATTAGTTTAGACATTATTTCATAATAAAATACACGCATATTACTCCAAATAAGACTAAAAATGTTTGAAAATTCTAAAACTGGAATGTCATGTTTTTATTCCCAAAATAGGAGTAATTACTGTCATCTTTTGGCTGGACCAGACTTCAAACTTGACAGTATTTTCCAAATGTGACAGTAATTGATCCTATTTTGGGAATAAAAAACATGACAGTCCTATTTTGGAATTTTCAAACTGTTTTAGTCCTATTTCGGGAATTTACCCTAAAATAAAGGTAGATTTTACGGTACTCATAAGGTACCATACCTTTGTCCACATGGACTAATGAGAATGTTGCAATTGAATTATTTAAATCTAAATTAAAAGGATAGTAGGTACTGTACCCCATTTTTTAAAAGGTACCGGAGTTGTCACCTGAAATAAATAAAGAGTATTGAGTATTATTTATAAAAATGGACATAGCGATTAGCGACCGTGTATGCTCCCTGATAACACAGCGACCATGTATGTATACTAGGTGCAAACGGGTACATGGACAACCGGTACATGAACCGCGTGTCGGGCCGGATAATACAGATTAGGGTCATCTCCTGGTTTTGAAAACCCCAAACGGGACATGGTAGTTCCCAAAAAAGTTAGAAACCGTCCCGTCCGAGTATTAGACTCCGACCAAAGTGACTGCCGCCAAAGTGACCGCCGCTGCCCCTCGTCAGTGACTGGCGCCAACTCTGGCCAGTGATTGCCGTCACATAGACCTGTCAACGGGTCGGGTTCGGGCCGGAACATAGTATCCCAGACCCGGACCCGTTAGCCTCTATAAGGTTCCAGACCCGACCCATATACCCGGCGGGTCTAGAACTAATGTTCCGGACCCATACCCATTGGGTCTCAGAACCGGGTCGGGTAGACCCGACCCGTCTCACGAAAATCCAATTCTAATTTCCTAAATAAAAAAAGAGGACCTCTTACTATCGAGTACTTTTCTGGCAACAATATGGTACATGAACTGTAATTACTCAACCAAAAGCACCACTTAAAACATGAAAGTTCCAGATTTACACATTCAAAATGTAACACATATGGTGCACTGGTTTTGCCACAGGGGAATAAACGTAAGTTCTTCAAAAACATAAGTTTAATGTAACAAATAAGGTGCACTAGGCAACTGCAAAAACATAAGTTTTATCAAAAAGCCTCTTTGAACCTGTGATAATAAAAACAACAAAAACCAAACCCATAAATCTGGGCAACTGGATTTATTAAATTAAATCATAATGTGCGTGGCAGCTAATCTAATATGTATGTTAGACTAATGTGTGTGTGTGTCTATATATATATATATATATATATATATATATATATATATATATATATATATATATATATATATATATATATATATATATTAACGGGTCGGGTCCTAAACGGGTCGGAACTACATATACCATACCCGACTCATTAAATAACGGGTCCGGATCCGGGTCCGGGTAACAGAATTAAATGCAGACCCGTACCCATTAAAAAAAGACGGATCCAGGTAGGATTCGGGTCTAGACCCGACCCATTGACAGGCCTACCGTCACAAGCTCAACCGTACACCACCACCGCGGGTTGAGAATTCCTGACCCATTTAGTTCGCGGATTTCACGGGTCAACCCACGCGGGTTGCGGGTTTAAGTGGGTTGGCCCACCGGGTTACGGGTTGGCCCGCGGGACAAAATACAAAAATATAGTTTTGAATTTATTATCTAAGATATTGTTCTTTTACTACCAATATTATTATAATTACAATTAAAAAAGTATTTTTCTTTTATTTATATAATAAATATTCAAATAAAATGTTGAAACATATATTTTTTGTGAAGTTCGATACAATATTTAACAATTAGTAGTCATTATTTGCAAATGATTAATCAAAAGTTTTATGTAAATCTTAATTTAAATACAATGAGTATTTTTGTCGCATAGCCTCTTATAGTTTTCAAATTCTCGTATAACTAGTATTTAATATTTTTAATTAATCATAACGAGTATTGAATTTTTAGTATTTTGATTTCTTATATTTCCTTTGTTACTACTTGCTAATATAAATATATACTTCCGGGTAATTACTTTTACAAAAAATCGTTTTGTATTTTTTTTTTTACATTGGCCCGCGGGCCAAACCGTTTAACCCACGGGTTAGGTGGGTTGGGCTTAGGGTTGTAGAAATTCTGGCTCGTCATTAAACGTGTTGGCCCGACCCAACCCAACCCACATAAAGCATAACCCGTTACGGGTCGGGTTGGGTTGGGGCGGGTTGGGTCGTTTGACAGCTCTACCGACCAGCCCATTCCAGCCCCCAATCCACACCTCTGCATCCTAGCCACCGTCCCAATTCCGGATCTAGATCTGAAAATTGCATCTTCCATCCATCAATTAGGTCAACGCCTCTTCAATCAACTCTGTCTGTATCACATCGTCAATGGAGGGCCAGATCTAACGGTCTTCACCATCGTCCTCGCCCACAGAAAGGTGAAGAAGAAGACATCAAACCTGGAGGAGATGATGGCAGATAATGGCGTTGGCTTCACTGCGACGATTACGTGGAGGCGTTGTTGTTGTTGAGAGGACCACAGGTGACGGCGTCGGAGGGGCAACCGACATCGGCGGTGCGCGTTTGGTGGCGCTGGACGGTCTCCTTTCCTGGCGTTGTGGAAGAGGAATAGTAGAAGACGCGTTGTATCAGTTGACAAGTCACGTGGAGTTAAGTCACATTTACGGAAAATCTCAAACCCGTCCTATTTTTGTCTTTGAAAACTACAGGGGTAATACGTGTGCCATTTTTTCTTTAAAAATTCTCACACTTTTCTTTTTGGGATGTATTTAAAAGTTTCATAGACTTTTCCCTTTTGGTAAGATTTTACTTTAAAAATATTCAATACCCTTACTTTTTCTACATTTTATCCCCTCTTTCCTACTTTTTCACCTTCTCTCCTACTTTTTTCTGTACTATTCATTACTCTTACTATTCCTTACTCTTACTATCAAATGTAGCGATTTTTAAAATACAGAGGGGGTACTTCAAAAAAAGAAAAAAAAAAAAGAGATCATTCAAAAAAATGGACATAGCGACTGTGTACGCTCCCCGTTGGACGTTGACACAATGACCATGTATGTATACTAGGGGCAAACGGGTACATGAACCGCGTGTCAGGCCGGATAATACGGATTGTGGCCGGGCCCTAGTTTCGAAAAACCCAAATGGGATGGGGCGGTTCCTAAAAAAGTTAGAAACAGTACGCTTATTAGAATTTAAAAAAAAACACGGGTACCTCGAATCGACCTGTTATTTTTTCAAAATTTGTTATATTTAATATAATATACTAACAACACCCAAAAGATTTTATGTTCATTAATTATTAAAAAAAGTTTCTCATTCCATATAAACTTCTAAATTATTATTTCTAATTCTTTATTCCAAATGCATCGTGTTTTTTTTTAACAAAGACACTTGCTCAATAAAGTGTGACATATTAATTGTATCATATTAATTTTACTTAAATTTTGAGATTTAGTTTATCAGTGACGTTGTCTTTTTTTTTTACATTTCAAAGTTGTGTGCTATTTACTTTATACATTTGTTATTCGACATTTTGTAAAATAATTCAATTTTTTTAAAATTTTTATTTTGAATTTTTACTATATTATGGTGACATTGATACTTAATTAGTTTGAAATTTTTATTCTGTACTAGATATTTTGTTAGTGTAACGGAATATTTTTAAGAACCAAGAACCTGGACCAAACTAACCCGTTTTAAACGGGATGATAAGGTCTGGTTCCTATTTCGAGACTTGATATACCCAAATCGAGCCTACTCATTAAATGGAACCGACGGGTCTTGAAAATTTATCAATTACCCGGATTGACCCGGACCGTGCCCACCCCTATTGTATACCCCCCATCGCCAATGCATTGTTTGGCTTAGGAAGTGAGGGACTTCTGCTGGCATAATTATTAGGACCATAGATAACATTTGATGAGGTAAACACAAATGAAAATTGGTTAAAGGTTGATGTGCAAGGTGATTGTGGATGGACAATCACAAGGTGTAAGGAGAGCTCGTGCATTGTGACCACCGACCACGCAAGGACTAGAGGATAGAAGATTGTACGTGGTGACTATATACTTGAGCAAATAGAAAATTACGGAATACACACTAACCCGATTGTCATGGTAAGGTTATCAAGAGAGCATGTCCAAGGTGTGACCATGCATATAGTATAAGAAACTTAATTAGATAACATGACGACTCTGGCCAGAATGATATAAGCTCGTGAGGAGAACGCATATACTCGGCAACTCTGGAGGGACAAGTCGCATGTAAGATATCTTTTCAGGATAATGATTTGCATATCATTCAAGCATGGCGACTGCGTCACCCAGATCAGATCGCCGCCACCGTAGATCTAGCCGCCTGCTCCTTAGATCGGGCCAGATCTGGCCTATGCCAACCATCGACCACCACCTATGCAGATCCAGCCTCTGCCACCACAGATCCGGCTGCCACCGCCACAAATCCGGCGGCTGCTAGAACAGATCTGACGAACGCCATTACTGATGGCAACTTTTTTATTAGAATGCCAAACTAAATCGAGAATGCCATCTAAATGGCATTTTCAAAGAAAAATATGAAAATTATTAAGAATAAAAATGCCATTTTGATGGCATTTTCAAAATATATTGACAATTGTAACTACCAAATACTCCGTAGAACTCCCGGAAGCCAAGTAAATCAGTCCAGTTTGATTTCAACCAAAATTGACAGATGCAGATGCAGATTGACGGAAAAGAAGAGGGAAGAACACTCCTGAGCTTGCCACCACCACCATACCACATTCAGTCGGGGAAAAATTTGAAAAAACGGACCTGACGATGGAAGCCACTGCTCGACGGCGCACTCGGCCACTGCTCGCCGGCGCACTCGACCGCTGCTCACTCGTGGTTGAAGCTTAGCTCTCTGTTGAGCAGAAAGATGGATCGATGTTCTGGCAGAGTTATGAGCGTGCGAACAGAGGTTATGAACCGGAGGGGTTGAAATGAGTCAGCGGGGTAAAATCGGACAAATGGTCCTATTTGGGGAATTAAATTATACTACTCCTATTTAGGAATTTCAGCATTAATCTAGTCTTATTTAGGGCTATTTACGCTTAATTAAATAAAGAAAAAATTATATGGAAAAAATAGTTAAAATGATCTTCTATGATAATTTCAGTCAATATAGCCAGAAAAGTAACTACAACATAAGTTTTTATTAAAATTACATAATTCAACCCATAGTTACGTGCTTCGGAATCTTCAAATTCCCATTTCGGGGCCGTTTCCGTAATTAAGAAAAAATTGGAAACCCGTTTCACTACGTTTCGGAAACCTCGGATTCCAATTTTTTTTTTCTTTTTTAAAGATTCTGTGGTGGAAAATAATTTTTTTAATAGTGATTTTTTGTGGTATTTCTCAGCAGCAACACTTGTTACATTTCATAACACAATGTATTGCTAGAAATTATTACTCCGTACATTTTATGTTTAATTATGTACTAATATAAATTTGAACATGTAGATTGATTTTATTATTTGGTAACTAAACAAATTATATGAAAAAAACACGTGCATATGAAAAAACTTGTTTACATATATTTAAAAATAGGCTTAAATATGTTTTTGATCCCTGCAAATATGACTCACTTTGTTTTAGGTCCCTACAAAATATTTTTTTGGTTTTTCATCCCTGTAATATGCCCTAATTTGTTTTTGGTCCTTGTCTCATTCCAAAACAACTCTACTTAGAAAAAAAATTATTGTGAGTTGCATAAATCCACTAGAAATATTTAAACTTATCATTTAAATATTTTTTTGAGGCTAATATGAGAGCTAAAATAATGTAAAACTAAATATTCACATTTTTAAAATGTATATTAGAAGGCTTAAAAAAAAATAAAATCAAATACTTTTGAAATAACATGACAATGGATTATAGGAAATCTATTAGTCGGGATTAGTTTCAGATCAAACGAATGTTGATATCATCGGTGATAGACCAAAAAGAAAACTAACATAAATTGCAGGGATGAAAAACAAAAAAATAATTTTACAGGGATGTAAAACAAAATGTACTATATTTGCAGGGACTAAAAACATATTTAAACCTTAAAAATATTTATAAATATATCCTTATATTTTATAATATTTACGCGTTTCCCCCACGTTTCGTATCCTATATGTTTTAGAAATTACGTTTCTCGCGCTTCCCGTTTCCCGTTTCACATTTCCCGTTTGGCGTTTCCGTGCTACTTAGATTTAGTTAAAATGTTTACTAAATCTGAAAAACAAAAAATCATGCATAAGCACTTAATCTATATTATATATTAAAACGGAAAAGTGCAGCAAGAGTTTTGAGCGGGAACTGCACTACCCGTTTGAGAGTTATAATGCCTTCTAGATTAGTCTTATTAATAATGTGGATTAATTATGCTGACATGATTTGTAACTTCCTATGCAGAATTAAATATTAAGGAGAGGAAGCTGTTCGGTTTATTATGCTTGAACTTCTCGACTCTCGAGTATGGTGCAAACGAATTGCAGCATTAATAAAAAAAGTGGAATCTTTAATTACTTTAGTTTGGTTGTTTAGTGTCCCTAGAAAAATTAATGATGGAACACGAGGCATGGTGTAATACGCCTTAAACAAAAAAGTTAAAAGTGGAATTTTTTAATTGCTTTAGTTTGGCCCTTTTGTTTCCCTAGAGAAATTGATTATTTGTATGTGACAAGGCTTTTAGTTTCCACCCACCTCTTGCCTATATAAGCTGCCATGTCCGGTAACGACAACCCATCGCCTTGGCTTTTATGCTGAGTTACAGTAGTTTATTAGGAGAGCCTTTGCAAATGGACAACCCATCTCTTTCTTTCATTTTTGTTTAATCAATTTATTTTTTTCCTTTTTATTTTTATTTCTGAAAAGGCTGTTTAGTTTCCCCTATTGTGCTTCTCAATAGGTGTCGTATTACTCTGCTGAGACAAGGCTGTTTATCTTCATTCATTAAAATACATATATAAAAATTACGGTGTTGTATATATATTGTAATTAAGGGAAACACACCAGTTGATTGAACTTTGATTCCATTCTATTATTGCTTTGCTGGCTTGCTGGGCCACATATAAAAGCTTTGATTTCTTTCTTCAGCTTTTGCAAGCGGACAAGTTGTTTAATGCAATTATTCATTTAAACAGGCATTTGATAAACTTATGTAAAGTATATGTCGGTTTATCGGATGATGAACTGAAATCGAATGTGAATAGGATAGGGGCAGGCCAACACATCATCAAAGAAGTTGAAGGCTAAAATTAAGATTGAGAAGTTGGATACCTTGATTTGTCAAGGTAGTTTTTTTTATTATTATCTATGGTTATGGACTTGTGGATAGATATTGCAAACTATTGGTTTGGTTCGTTTGACATTCTACCACAATTATGGTGGAACTTTATATTCGTTTTGGTTTGACATTTGGTTTGTTTGTGAAGCTTTGGTTTATCTTCAACATTAGATCACGGAACAAGTTTGGATCACACAACAAGTTAGGATTTGGAGTCACTTCAAATGTTGATTTAACCATTGCGCTACTCAGAATTCTAAGTTACTTTATTATGTGGCTAAAAAATATTGCAACTATATACTCCTTTCGTCTAAAAAAGATTGATCAAATTGACTTTTTTGTCAATGGTGATCATGTTTGACCAATGATATCTTTTAATATCAAAATTATATGAGCATATTTTTTATTAAGAAATCTTTCATAAAATCATAAAATGATACGTAGTATATAATTTGCGCGCGCGCACGCACACACACACATATAATACTTAAAATCATTGTCTACTTTAACACCATTGATTAATGAAAGTCAAATTGGTCAATTCTTTTAGAGAGTGGTAGTTATTGACTAAATATTTTTTCAAATATTCAAAGTCATCGTTGGTATATCGTTTGTATGAGACCCACATTAAGTAATCAAATGATGTTTTTACTTGGACTGAAATATTCTGGTATGATCTGGTAGATGTTTGGTCTCTGTGTCATTTATAACAATCCAAGTTCAAAACATCCGCTGAAGGATAACCATCACACTATTCAAAAAAAGGCAAGCTTAAGTTACAATTTCGTTTTTTTTTTAACAATTGATGACAATATTTTTTTAATAAAGATGACATTAAACATTTTTGAATAGCCATATTTTCCAAATCCATAAGCAATTCATTAACTTAAAAACTTGATTCTATTAGTGTCAAAAAAGGCAACCTTAAGGCTGATTGGAGAGGCAACCCATGGGGTCAAAAAGCAATTTTGATCTATTCACCCCTAAAAACTCCACAACCCTTGTATTTGGAGAGGCTAAGCCTGGATAGATGGCATCTCATGGGTAGAAATTAGATGACATTTTCCACTCCCACCCAATTCACACTTCTCTGGATGAAAGCAAAAAGGAGTTGCCCCATCAAATAATAATATGGGTCCCACTCAAAATGTAAATCTTATTTTATATTTAAAGTGTTTTAACTTTTTTATTTGTACTCCGATTTTTATAAATAATATATCAAAATTCTTAACTTTTTATGACCGTTCATATGACACCAATATTGCATATATAAAGTAAAAGGAAAAAAGTTGAAGTTTCAATTGATGGGAGATTTCAGACCTAAAATTTTTCCTAAATAGATTCAAGTGCCAAAGTTATCAAATATTTTTATTTTAAAATAGCTCTGAAGTAACAAAATTAAAATTAAACTTCAAATTCATTTACAAAAAACGGAAAGAAATGATGTATAATAATAAATGTAAGATTTTAATTAAAAAAACTTTACAGAGTGAATATATTGACGGTGTTGGGTTGTAGCAAAAAATAGTTTGACTGAGTGAATACATATAAAGAGTTGTGAAATTTGATTTATTGACAGAACAGGGTTGCGGGCAGCCTAAGTGACTTTTGAATTTCCCATTATAGGGTCTAAAGAAATAGAATATTTTTTTTTTGAAATTTGAAAATTGCTTATGGAGTTGAGAAACATTGCCACTCACAGATGATTAATGGCATGTTTAAAATCATTGTTTTGATTTTTATTGTGCAAAATATATTTATTTTAAGGCACTTTTGAGTTTTTCTAAAATTTATGCTAAAAATCGTAAAAATAGGTTTTTTGTTGTTGTTGGGGACATGTTGAGGTGTTGGGATACTTAGAAGGTGAAGTCTCTGAACAAGAGACGATATGTTGAATAAGTTTTGGTGACAACTTCGGTACCCTTTTAAAAAATGAGGTAACGTACCTATCATTCATTTGATTGGACCACATTACTTTATTACTTTTAATTTAGATTTAAATAATTCAACTGCGACATTCTCATTGGTCCATGTGGACAAAGGTATGATACCTTATGGGTACCATAGAATTTACCATAAGTTTTTGCTGGAGTTGGGGTCTTTTGGTACTATTGTTTCTTAGATTGGCCCTAAGTTGATTAACTAAAGATTGTTAATTTTCATGGAAAAAATGAAACCAAGTTTTAGTTAACTTAGGGCCATTAAAAGAGTTCGGGTCTTGATTAATTGGGTTTTACCATTAATTAATACTGCCAATAGTGTCAAGTAGTGCTATTCATATCTTTAATTAATAATGACAGCTGCAGAAAGCTACTAATTTGTTAGTTTTAATCATTATTTTTCTTAGAGCAGCGAGCAATGCCGATCCTACTTAATTCGGATCTGAGTCAAACTTTTTAAAAGGCTTTCATCTATTAATTCATACTCAGTATTATTAAACTACAACAAATGTACAATATGCCAAATTACTATCACACATACGTAGTATAAAAATATATGATTCATAGTATTAAAAAATCTATTCCCATGCATCGCACGGGTAACATACTAGTTTGTTATTCTAAACACAACATTGGCACAACTCTATAGTTCCATACTTCCATACTACTATAGTGATGCCGTGATCGAGCAATGAAGACAGAACACGTGTCCATCGGGTTCAGACTCAGAGAAGCGGCGGAGCCACCGCCGTGAGAAGTTTCGCCTGTCATCGTTGTCAGCAGGAAAATTATACCTGGGTCAACCAAAAAGCTTCGCTAGAGAGAGAGCAGGAACCGAAAATACTCAGAACAGTGAGGGCGGCGAAATGTCTTTCATTTTATCATCGTTTCCTCTTCATTTTTATTAATACATATATACTCCGTATTTTGCATTTGACATTTCCATCTTCTCACCAAACGCGAACAACAAGCATCCCGTATGCAGACTACAGAACAGTATCGATTATCATCTCCCTTCTTAATTCTTATACTCAGTATATAAATACGAAAATTTATGTCACACGTTTTTTTGCTCAATATTCAGATAACGATTGAGAGGTAAGAAGATTCAAAAGGGGACGAATTTGTGAAAAACGAGAGCGGAACCCTAATTTCCGCAAGTTCGCTGTGTTCTCTTAATCTTAATTGATTTGCTGATTTTTTGTTCAAGTACGTGAAAAACGTTTTACCTGCTCCTAGCTTAGGTTTATACTGGATGTTGTTGGATTTGAGCATTTAATCAATAGAGGTTGAAAAGTTTCAGATCCGGAGAAGGAGAACCGGGGATATTTGGAAATAGCTTAATATATAGGAACAATGCCTTCACACTCGGACCTGGATCGGCAGATCGAGCACTTGATGGATTGTAAGCCGTTGGCAGAGCTGGAGGTGAAGACTCTTTGTGACCAGGCAAAGGCGATTCTGGTGGAGGAATGGAATGTGCAGCCCGTAAAATGCCCAGTTACTGTGTGCGGAGACATTCATGGCCAGTTCTATGATCTCATTGAGCTGTTTCGGATAGGCGGCAAAGCTCCTGACACCAACTACCTCTTCATGGGTGATTATGTTGGTGAGTTTCAGATATCCCAAGCCAGAACTCAAAGATACTCACTTGTGTGTTACTAGGCAATTGGATTTATGCAGAATTTGGGCTGATTGGCTTGTATTTGATGAGCTTGTAGTATCTTATTATCCACATTCTGTAGGATTTTGTATTAACACAACCTTAGTATCTTTGTATCATAAACTGGGTAGTGTTCACAAGTTTGCTACTGTTGACTTATAATCATATTGAGATAATTGAACTTCAAAAAACTTGAAATCCCTTATCCAATGCTGCTGCTAGTGCTCTACAATGCAAGCTACAGTATAGCTAAAGTTTATGGATGCATGGTTTAATTTTCAGAAGGGGAAGCTCCATTCCAGTTAGCCAGTAGTACTCCGCAAAGCATCTATAGTTACTGGAAAATAATATTTCGGGCATAAGTTAATCTGGTCTAGAACTTTTACATACCAACAAAAGTTTGTTAATAAATTATATGCATACATCTTTGTTAAGTTTTCTTCCTCTCACCCTCACACACACCCCAGTTACCCAAGTTTGAAAATAACAAGCTCTCCTTTTATATTGCATGGAACCATTCAAAAGTTTGAACCTTTTTTATAGTTTGCCTAAGATCTTGGAAAGTGTCCTTTTCTTTGGTGATGTTAGTTTTTTTACTTTGTTGCTATTAATAAAGAGTGAATTGGGTGGTAGGTTCTTTTTCATATCTAATACACCTTTGTATTTCTTCATAGAAGCATTCAGATCAATTATGTTAATATTAGCTGCTTTAGTGTGCCATCACGGAAACTTGTATCATGAAAATTGTTACCATTTTTCTTGCTTTTTCTTTATTCAGTGTTTTAGAATCTCTAAACAACTGGTCTTCTCTACCTTATTGCTTTATTAGTAATACATGTGCATTAAATGCAGACCGCGGGTACTATTCAGTGGAGACTGTTACGCTTTTAGTTGCTTTGAAGGTCCGCTACAGAGATAGAATCACAATTCTTAGGGGAAATCACGAGAGCAGGCAAATAACCCAAGTGTAAGTTGTAAAACTGATAAAATGTTAATTGTCATGATTTTACAATTAATATTATGAGATTTCCATTATGTGGAATATCCCGATATGTACACCCACTGCCATAAAATATAAGAGGGACATGGTTCTGATGCGGGTTTTAATCAAACAACATAAAGACATTTAATTTCTAAGTTTGTCCCTCAATGAGATCTATCTGGGCAAAACATTCTAAAAATTAAAATCTCAGAAGTTAGTGCAAAACGTAAATAAGGAAAAACATTGAGTTAGTTATGTTTAAAATAAGAAGTGAACATTTTTTGGATGAATGAAAAGCAAAATATTAAGTGCAGATGTAAAGGGATGTGGTAACATTATTAACAATATTAAGTGCAGAAATGTTTAAAAACATTTTCTTGTTATTCATAAGCTCTTATTCTTATTAACAATATCTTTCCTTTTTTCTATCTTTTTATTGTGAAATGGGCAAATTTTATTTCCTTGTCTTGCACGCATTTAATAGGTGACATCTGTTTTTTGGTTTCTAGCTCAGTGCATTCTGAAAACAGTGCCTTTGTGCTACCAATTTTGTAGACATAACAAATTTGTTTTCCTGTCTGCCGCTCTTGCGCCCTTAAAATGCGACACTGGCTTTTATTTCCTTTTTAGTGCATCACTAAACTCTCCTTGCACTCTTAATAGAGTTGTAATAGCAATGTTATTATCTGTAAACTAACAGTGAGTAGGTTCCACATTTCTTTTGTAGTGAATGGTAAGCTCAAATGTACAAAACTGTGTTCGTTGATGTAGTCATTGATATCTAGTGGCCATTTCTAGCCATTTTTTCCAGCTTATCAGTCGTATCTTCCATGTTTTATTCCAAACACCAAGTCATTTTACTATCTGCGATGAATTGGTTAAAAAGGAAAGTAGAAGACTGGCTTGCAGGCAGTTATTTGGCCGAAGTAGCTGAGTATGATCATTTAGCCTTTTTCATATACACATACATATGTGTGTGTATTAGAATTATTATAAAAAATAGATATTTTTCAGCAATTTCAGTCAATACATCAATATTAGCTGCATTTTGACCAATCCCAGCCAAATTCATCTTTACCAAATGGGCTCTTGATCTTGATTCCTTTCCGATCAATCAGCTCACTGACTCACTCATGTTTGGCTGTTTTATCTCTTTCTTGTGGAATGCTGCATTTCTCTCTTTTTTCAGCCACTATGAAATTCAACTTTTCTCTCCAGGTATGGTTTCTATGATGAATGTTTGAGGAAGTATGGAAATGCCAATGTCTGGAAGTATTTTACTGATCTCTTTGATTATCTACCTCTGACAGCACTTATTGAAAGTCAGGTGTGACCTGTAAGCTGTTGCTGTAGATATGTTTTGTTTACTGATGATATTATTGCATGTCATTGCTGATGTAAATTGTGTTTTAACTTTTGTAGGTGTTTTGTTTGCATGGAGGACTTTCGCCGTCTTTGGATACACTTGATAATATTCGAGCTCTAGAACGCATACAGGAGGTACGGAGAGTTTTAACAGCAGGGTTTCGTGGCTATGTTTGTGACTAGAGAGTATTGGATGGGTTATTTATGTTCTTTTAACAGCAGGGTTTCGGGGTCAGGTCACAAGTTTGACTACAACTTCTAAGTTCTAACTGTAGCAATATCGTTCTCAACAAACACTGTATATGCAAATCAGCACTGCAACCATGTCTCTATCCAATTGACTTTGAGCGACCAACTGATTATCGCTAACTTATTTCCAATTTTCCATTTTCCCATGCGGTGGACACATTCATATCTACATGGGTATCTTAAAGAATCTGGTGATTATGGTGAAGACTTAAAACAGACATATTGATATTTAAAGAAATTTTGTGCTTTATCAGCTTCGCCAATATCTGCCGAGATTCCTTCATTATATTCTCCAGATCACTTCTTTTAATCTCTTTTCTCACTTACTCCAGCTTTCCTAATATTATCAACTCATCTCAAACTTTTAAGATCTTTATACATCCAAAATACATTGGCAACTTATTCCTAGATAATTTCTTTGATTTTCTGTGAGGTCATTGTTGACGGTAGTGCTGAATTGACTGGACTAGATTCATCCTTCAGAATGACCTCCTAATTGTTCCGGAACTCTTCAAGCTCCCTGCTGAAGCTCCTTGTTGAAGCTTGTTGAGCTCCCTCTTTAATTTGTTATAACCTTCTAAATTAGGCCATTAGGGTCATTGGAGCAGTCTGCGTAACATCCAAATATTATGGTAATGTGGTTTGGTGGGCCATTTTCCATTTGATGGAAGTGTATCTCTTTTCCTTGTGGTTAGGACTAAGGTTTTGATTATTGTTGTAATGTTGTTAGGCGGACAATACATACACGTATTGTCTGGATATGCATTTCATGTTCCAGGGACTGCAAAAATTTGGAAATAGTCAGCAATAACCAGCTGCTAGATTAGCATAAATTGGATGGAGATGTGACAGGCGCACTGATGTTCATACACTGTGTTTGTTGTGGTGTTATGGAGTACACTGGTACATTCAAAAGTTTTAGCGAAACTTGCAGTTTGATGGTTTGACCCGCTGTTTGGGATTTTTGTGCAATTAAACTCATCATCATTACCCCAGTGCCGCAAAGGCTCCCACTTTCTATGGGGTAAGGGGGGGTCGGATGTACGCAGTCTTACCCTTGTACTAAAGCACAAAGAGACTGTTTCCAGATGACCCATAGTGAAAATTGCGTCGAAAATTGCATGGACTGACTGCTACTTCATAACAAAGAAGCGCAGACAGTTTAGTGAGCCATTTTGCTTTATTCCATCATATTCCCAAGCCAAAAAATAGTGGTCTTTGGCTCCATTGCAAATGATGGAAGTTTTTGTGCAATTAAACTAACTTCTAAAAATAAATGATATGAAGTGATTATTAGCGTAAACTCAATATGTTTATTATTTATATGATTCTCCCATGTAAAGAATATAACTTCCTTAATCCAACTCCTAAAAGTACTCTCAGTATCATACATTTGGCCAAATATTCTCTACTTATTCTACTACCCAGTTGGCTAGTACCCTAATACCCAAATGTCTGCTCGTCAGTTAAAACCTGTTAGGCGACATATGGCTGGATGTTTACTTTCTCATTTTTAATTCACAATTAAACAAATAGCCACTTTGCTCCTCGTGTAGTGGTTCTTTAATTTTAAATTTTTAACAATTTCTTTTGTATTTTCCTTTACTCACAAATTTTCTTTATCTTCCATGACTCACAAAATCTATCTTGTCTGATGCAGGTTCCGCACGAAGGGCCAATGTGCGATCTTTTGTGGTCTGATCCGGATGACCGATGTGGTTGGGGAATTTCTCCACGAGGGGCTGGGTACACCTTTGGACAGGATATAGCTGCTCAGTTCAACCACACCAATGGACTCACTCTCATCTCACGAGCTCACCAGCTCGTTATGGAAGGATTTAACTGGTGTCAGGTTTGTAGACCATAATAGACTCTCTTTCCCATTTTCTCTGAAAATGACCATAACTAAGAGACTGTTTGGTTGTGTAAAAATTCATTGAAATGACTGAGTTTGTGGAATCATCTAAAGATGTATTGAAATGTCTTTTATTTATTAAATTAAATGAAATAATTTCAAATAATAACTACACTATGAGAGTACACTGGTTGTTTCACTTAGTGTCAAGTTAAAAATTTTGCTGCTAAACTTGATAATAGAAAGGAGGAATCAAATAGACGCTAAGGAATCACTTGGTAAATGGTAATATGGTTATTTGGTTGAAATGGCTGAATCTTTAGTTTTTTCTGAAAGGAAAAACATCATATAACATCCATTTCAGCCAAAAAGTGATACTTGTGTTGCTTACTCGTCAGCATAAGCCAGAGCGCACTACCAAACGGGGCCTAAGACTCTAAGAACAGCACATTCTTTTCATCCGGCTTTGCTTGTCTTTGGGGCAGAAACCATTTGTGTCATTTTCATTTTCTCTTGAAGTTCTTTGAAATTAAAGAGGAAGTCATTTTTCTAAACCAGTTCTGTTTTAATTATTTATCACGAGTTCAAGCAATATTTTATCACTACTTAAAACAGTTTATTGTGATTTTGACATTTGTTGGGGGGCACGTTATACTTATTTTTTTGCAGGACAAGAATGTGGTAACTGTATTTAGTGCTCCAAACTACTGTTACCGGTGTGGGAACATGGCAGCAATATTGGAGATAGGGGAAAACATGGATCAGAACTTCCTTCAATTCGATCCTGCTCCTCGACAGATCGAGCCGGACACCACCAGGAAGACTCCTGATTATTTTTTGTGATCTATTTAAAATATTGCCTTCTCATTGTTTACAGCCCTATAGAAGCTGCTGCTGCTACACCGAAGATCTTTGTTCTTTTCTTTGGGTTCTTTCTGTTAATACATGCTACAACTGTATAATCAATGAATTCTCTTTTTTCTCCTTTTAGCGTAAAACTCTGAGCCTTATTTGCTTAAAGTTTTCTTGAAGGGATCAAGTGTAATGTATAAACTAGTTTTGTGTATGTGCTTTATATGGACAAGCCTAACACAAAATACTTGATAATAATAGCTGTAGGCGGAATTAGCTTTAAGACTTTCTAATTTTATTATTTTTACAATTTCCTACTTTTTTTTACCATTTCATGAAAATGAATTTCGAGTAACAAAGTTAAATTTCCATTATATTGTTCATTTTTAGAGAAATTGTTATCAAGTTGAGATTATTTATGTGTGTTCTTATGTATTTTTAGTTTTTTACTTTATGATACATTACAGGAGTTGCATTGTTTTCTCCCAAAATAAGACCTATACACTCTTATTTGAGAGAAATTTTTATTCTTTTACTCTTGAATGACGGACTATTCTTGTGCACTAATGCACAAAATTGTTAATACCAATTAGATATTTTATATACTCACCCCTCTAAATTAAATTCTCACTTATCCTTATTTTTAATTAAGTTCACACTTTTTTTGTAATATTTGAATTGTGAAATACTCTTTTAATTTAACCCTATGAAAAATACTCTGTGGATCATTAATTATTAATTTAATCTTTAGTACCTGAGGAATGCATTATTAATTTTATCTTTAATACTTTTAGGAATGATGACTCAATGGCATATTTCAAAAGTCAATGATATTTTTTCTTCTAAAACTCATAAATTCAAATGAGGAAGGAATGGATTAAGAATGAAGATATGTATCCAATACAATTTGTTATACGACTTGTGTTATAATTATGTATGGGTTCATATGAATCCGACTGGTAGTATAACTAGTATTATTGCTCCGTATAAATTTATTTATTTATTTATTTATTTATTTATTTATTTATTTATTTATAATGAGGATTACTTTAGAACAACACAGGCATGTGCAAGAAATAAAAACTGACATTTTCAATCGTTTCAAGGGGCCCGAATATTCTCTCATATATAATGCATCGGAGCTTACCAAATATAGCGAGGAAATCGGGCCCATAGAGCCCAAGTCGATAAATGGTGATAACTGAACTATCAAAGTAACGAATTTTATATCCGAAAGACATCTTAACTATTAGAGAATTTCTTTTGAAAGAAACAACCACTCGTTACAACAAATTTACAGAAATCATTATAACAACTATCAGTAACCAACTATCATTCTATCACTATCAACTGTATGGCTAGACATAGAAACAATCACTCCTGAAAGAACAATACAAATCGTTAACCACCAAACAGTTGTTACACATCAATCACTGGTCATATAAATCATTCTAGCTACATAATAGCTAGCAAGATTGTCAATCATTATTGTAAACCTAAAACTAAAGACATCAACAAAAAACAAAGCAACATAAATAAACATAATACCAAAATAAGACCATAAAAAATAAAATAATTGATAAATTTTAATAATACCAAACTCATCTAGGGGACCTAATTTTAATTTTCACCTCCAATGTGCTTCACTTTGTATAACTCACTTGGCATACACAGATGATCTAATTTTATTCTCAAGAGGAGACACCTACTCAATTGAGACTTTGATGAATGCTCTTAAGGATTTTGGAGATGCATCGGGCCTTAGAGTTAACCATGAAAAATCAATTTTTTTTTTGGGGGGGGGGGGGGGTGGCAAACCACGAATTGAATAATATTTTGGATCTTGTTGACTATGGGCAAGGTACTTTCCCAATGAAATACCTTGGAACACCTCTTTCCCCATTAAGGGTTTCGGTTGCTCAATATGCACTGTTACTTAATACGGTTTCGGATTTTCTAAGTGCATGGAATACAAAGACTATATCTTATGCCGGGAAACTTGAATTAATAAGGTCAGTAATCCAAGGGGTTCAATCCTTTAGGTTACAAGTTTTTCCGGTTTGCCAAACTATTTTGGTGTAACACCCCGGCCCCACCGGATCCGAGGTAGTTACTCCGGACCAATAGTACTGTCCCCACAAACCACCACGAGCCTTTACCGCGCACTTTTTCCTCACTCATGCGCGCCCTGAGAAACTTCCCAGGGGGTCACCCATCCCAAGACTACTCCTGAGCAAGCACGCTTAACTTTGGAGTTCTTAGGTAATGAGCTCCCTTAAAAGGAGATGCACCTCTGTTGGTATGAGTAGTACTATTAATCCGTTTATATTAAATCTCAAGTGTTACAATCACCCCCACTTAGGATCGCAACGTCCTCGTTGCGCCCTTAAACAAATCTCAATCACACCCCAGAATCTTTTCCCCTGCTAAGTGCCCGCCCGATATCCAACAGATCAGCACACTGTCGTAGGGTTGCTCTGATACCACCTGTAACACCCCGGCCCCACCGGATCCGAGGTAGTTACTCCGGACCAATAGTACTGTCCCCACAAACCACCACGAGCCTTTACCGCGCACTTTGTCCTCACTCATGCGCGCCCTGAGAAACTTCCCAGGGGGGTCACCCATCCCAAGACTACTCCTGAGCAAGCACGCTTAACTTTGGAGTTCTTAGGTAATGAGCTCCCTTAAAAGGAGATGCACCTCTGTTGGTATGAGTAGTACTATTAATCCGTTTATATTAAATCTCAAGTGTTACATTTGGATATGATTGTTTCAATATGTGGGATCTTTTTATGGGGAGGCAACTATTCAAAAGTAGCTTGGGATGATATTTTCTTACCCAAAGAGGAGTGTGAACTTGGTATTCACAATGCAAAGGTATGGAACGAAGCTCTCCTTACACAGACTCTTTGGGATGTACAAAAAAAAAACACCTTAGGGGAAAGATGGGGATGGTGTATATCTTAGAGGAAAAAGTCTGTGGCAATTTTCCCCACACAAACGTGATTCACAATTAATGAAGAAACTTAGTCTCATTCAGAGTAAAATATGTGGACGGTTTAATAACCTCAATGAAACCATTATGTGGTTAAATAGCCGAAGTTTTAAGGGGAAACTTGTGTCTTCAAAGGTCTATGACCTATTAAGGACCAAAGGGGTTATTAGGACTTGAATGTGTTTCATTTGGAAGTCCATAATCCCACCTAAATTTTCTTTCAATGTTTGGTTAGCATTTAGAAACCGGTTACCCACTCGAGATAACCTCGGTTACCTATACATTGTGAGTAGATGTTATCTTTGCAAGGGTGGGTTAGAATCTACCCCACACCTATTTTTCCTTTGTCCATTTGTAGTTGGGGGGTGGATGAGCATAATGAATTGGATTGGAGAATCAAATGACTACCCTCCTTAGTGCGGTTAAATGGATCCTGAAGAAACATAAAGGAGCAACATTGAAAGCAAAGGCAGTTCACATTGCCTTATGTGCTACCATTTATTGGATTTGGCATGCTAGAAACGCCTCCTTAGTGATGAAGATTAAACATGTGGTGTATAAGATACTTTTTAGTATGTGATGAGCTACAATTTGTGCTTCATTTTTATATTACTTTATTATAATTCTAAGCTTATTATTTTCCTAATTGAGAGGTTTGCATTTTAATTATGTCTTGAAAATGACTTTTACAGGTGAGGTTTTAATTTGAAAGATTTGAGGACTTTTGGGCTGATTATGAGATTTTTCTTTTCGAAGGGGCAGTTGAAAAATTTATGGTCTCATCTTTTGAACACACCAGCCCATTTGTGCAAAAGGGATTTGGAGCTGGATTTTTTAAAGGAAGATAGACACCTACGGAGCAAAAAAGAAGAAGAATAGAGTACTACTTCTCTTAATTAGTCACGTACCAGCAACCCAAATCCAAGAAGAAAAGAAGGTAAAAAAAGGCCAAGAACAAAAAGGAAGTTGGAAAGGGTTTAAGGGCCTGCTCTATTTTTCGGCCGGCTCCATCTATTACCGGAGGACGTGAATAAGCCGGACTGGCAGCAGCGACGCAGAGGATTCTGGCGGCGAAGCGGAGAGCCGAGCCGGTCAGGAAGAGCAAACATCAAGGGATCAATATACGGTTCTCTAGGACTTCAAGCTGCGAAATTATTGAAAAAGAAAGCATGTTTTGGATGTCCGAATGGTGAAGCCTACTCTAGCCCAGCCCATAATTTTGAATGCTTTGAACTATGAGTTAATGTTTGATAGAAATGGAAAACCAGCCCACCCTAAATACCTATGAAGCACGGATACTTCACTAGGGTTCCGTATCGGAAATGTTTCTGTATCCGATACTCTAGAATACACGTACCGTACGTTCCAGGTTCGTATCTGCAATTTTTAAAAGTTTTCATTTTTTGGTAATTTTTTTAAAATTTCTGATTCTCGTACGGATACACGTATCAATTTTTTTTTTTTAAAAAAAAATCATACAAAAAAAAACTTAAAAATATTCGTAATTCTCCCATCCTCGTATCCCTAATTCTAATTATCCCTGGAAATTAATAGCTCCAACGAAAATATGTATTAGAACTTTTAAAATATTGTTTTCTATCTTTATTATTCTAGAAATTTGAGTACTTGCACTTTTAATTTCAAAACTGTAGTTTTTTGACTTATTTCTCATTTTAAATTAATGACTTATTGACTATATTTATATTTCGAGATGCACAGTGTATATGAGATGAAATATGAATTTATTTCTAAGTATCTTGAAAATGTAAATGCTTCAATGCCATGAATGAGTAGACAACAGAGGATAATATATGTGTATTTTTTCAAAAAAAAAATTGTATTTTTAATATTTATAAATACACCCCTATAACTTTTAATATTTATAAATACACCCCATAACTTTTAATATTTATAAATATGGCCCCGTATCTGTATCCTACTTTTTATGGTTTTGTTGTATCCTCATACCCGTTTCCGCGTTTCGATGTTTCCGCGTACCCATATCGGTGCTACATAGCTTATCACCTTCAAAATTCAGCTCCCAAGTCTCTCATGACTCACTCTCCCCCCTTCCATTTTATTCCAGCTGCCTACTGCTATTCTTCCATTTTATTTAAACTAGTAAACTCACCCGTGCAATGCACAGCATGAGATTTTTTATTTCAAATTTATTTGTGTTAGGTAATTCACAACACACTATTAATTGATGACACTATCCAACTCCAAGTAATCTATTCTAATTCTAATATAAAAACAAAAGAAGTTTTATGAATAGGGTTCCCGCCTAGAAGTGTCAACATCAAGCTTTAGTCCTATTTTTTATCAAATAATTGTAAAAATGATCAAATGTGTTGGTTGACATGGTAAAATGAAATG